AAATTATAAATAATTATATATAAATAAATAATAAATATTTACCAATTATAAACAGATAAATAAATAAACCATCTTTACTATGATCTTATGGTTCATTTTGATTATATATTTGTTTTAAAAATGCTGAATAAAAAATCGAAATGCTGCATCATCATCTTGACGATCTGCATTTTCTACATCACGCTTATATAATATACTATTTGGCATTTTACTAAGCATAAGTATTTGATCATATCTTGCAGTTCTAGTTCCTAATATAAATAATCGAGCACCAAAGAATAATGCATTTCTACTACTTTTTTTTCCATGTTTTGAATCTTGAATATGAATTACTAGACCAATATTAGGAAAAACTGGATACGTAAACTTAATATTATATAATTTATCTTCAAAAATAATTTTTTCTGTAGTTGATATATTAATTAGTATTGATTGTGAGTTAAATTCATTTGCTGTCCTATTCGATCCAAAAGAAATAATATTGATTTTTAATTGTGTTGCATATTCTAGAACTTTTTGATGATATGAACAGCTTTTTCTTTTTTCTTTATTATCATTTGGAATTAAACCAATAACAATTGGCAGAATTTTAGATAAAGGAATCTAAAATAAAAAAAAAAATAGAAATTAATATTTTATTTAAATTAAATTATAATAAATAAATATTAATAATAAATACTTGAAGTAAATAAATTCGAATTTGTTTTGCTATAGCTTTTTTAACCTTTATTTTATTAATAATTGCAATAATTTCCTCATAATTTGATGCTTTTGTTTCTGAAATTGGTAAAATTGATCTAATAATACAACTTAAAGTTGCTGAATAACTAAGACATTCTTTTAATTTTGTATTATCTATCTTAGCAGCAACTGGACTATTGTAATTTAATGAATCAGCAAATCTTTTAAATCATATCATATTTTTATAACAAAGTTCTATATTAATAATTGCATCATCTGATTGTGTATAGTGTAGTCTTATAATAAAAATATTGTTAGATGATAATCTAAAATAAATTTGTATTATATTCATAAAAATAAACATTACCTAATATTATGAAGTGTGTGTCCAGCTAAATTTTACTTAAACATTTCATATCCTCTTATTCCCAATGATGCTAAAATAGTTGTAAAATTTGTAAAGTTTTCTGTATATTGCAAATTTTGATTTCCTTTATTTTTTTGTTTACGATCAGCTATTTCTAGCATAACCTTACAAAGTCCTTCAAAAACTTTTTTATTTTTGAATACCCCTTGCCATCCTTTTTCTGCTAATATTGGCCAAAATGAATCTTGCTTTAAATCTACTGAATAATAAAGTTCATTCAGATTAGAATCATTTAAGATTTGAATATTGGATTTTTTTTAATTATATGTTTTGATGCAAATTTTCGATCTTCTATTTTTAGAAGAGGCCATTTAATTGCATTCCAATAATATAATATATTAATTAATATAAAAGTTAAATTTAAAAAATTTCATTATTTTATAATTGTAATAATTACCTTTAAATTTTTGTTACTATTTAACTTTATACATTTTTTACAAATGTTTTTTCCATTTTTTGTTATAATTTTACATTTTACACTTTGAATACAATTAGAATTAAAATTATTATGCCATTTTGCCCTTACAACTAACTCATTTTCTAACTTGATTTTTTCATTATTTATTAGCTTTTTCCAACAAAAATTTTTATTAAACTTTTTTGAGAATAATTTTTTTGCCAATATTTCAACATATGATGCTCCACCATAATGAATAATTCCACCAATTCTTTGTAAATATTTCAAATGCTTCTTGTCTCTTAATCCAATACATGAAATTTGTTTTGATTTTATAGAATTTATAAAATAGCTTGTGAGTGGATGTATTCCATTTGTTAGTAAACAGTTACTAGTTTTATTATGTTTTTCTAAATTTTTTGGATTGTAAGCTTGATGCAATTTAATTATCTTTCTGCATTTATATTGAAGTTGATTACGAGTATTAATTTTGTTAACTTTTGGATGATTTTGTAATCTTTTATCCTAATTAATAAAAAAATTGAATAATTATTAGTATTATAAATTAATTATAAATAAATTGAATTTTGATACTTACTTTAATATTATCAAGTTTTGTTATTCATTTTTGACTATTTTACGTTTAAATTTTTTTAATATTTATTTCATTATCAGTAGTATATGATGATAAAGATGATAATTCACAATCATTATTATTAATATTTAAGTTAAATTCCATTATATCAGAATCATCGTTTATATACTTTTTTGATTTAAGAGTATTAAAAAGTATATTTTCATTTTCACTAGATTGATTAAGTATTTCAATATCAACATTTGGATTAGATAAAAGTGGTGAATCTCTTTTGAAAACTGGAATAAAATAATCTATTTGCGATAAAGGATCATTAATATTCCACCTTTTACTTGATGGTGTTTACATTATCATAACAGATTCATCATAAGCTTTAATTCATGGTTCAATTAATTTGTTATACAATAAACTAATTAGTTGAGAAGCAGTTAGAGGATATATTGACATTATCAGTCTTTGAATTACTAATGCCAAACTATATATTCCAACAATTGAGCAAAATCAATATAGTTTAAACATTCTCTTTTTTTATTATATGTGATCGGCATATCTGAATTTTTGGCTAAATTTAAAGTTATATCAGAAAAAGAATAATCTTCTTCAAAAAATTTTTGATCAAGATAAAAATCTGAAAATTTCATCAATTCTACAATCATAGCTAGTCTAAATTGTAATGTTAACATTTGGTTTGCATTAAAAATTAGAAATATAAAATTTAATAAATAATCTCCATTAGAAAATACAAGTGCAGAAGTTAAGTATGGATATTGCAAATGATGGATTTTTTTAGCAGTATTATCAATATTGACTAATGGAGAAAGAGTTTCATGAGAAGTATCAAAAGTAGTAGAAAAGATATCAGATGTATTAATAGTTAAAACATAAGCTTGAACAGAATGAATATTAGAAGGTGGAATTGTAGAAAGAAATTTACTAATATTTAAAAGTTGTTCAAGATTTTTATTGTTCATTTGTATTGATATTTAACACAAAAGATAAAGTTAAAACGCGTATGCGTCTTAACATTTTATAATAAATGATAAAACATTGAATTTCCAATAAATAAAAAATTGATTATATTGTGATAAATTTATCATTAAATAAAATGAAAGATTCACGCTGTAGTATATTTATCTTTGCTATTTATTAAAGTTGATGTAATACTAGGTAACACTACATATGATATTTCCAAATATACGCTTTTATTAAAAAAATTACATGTGACCTTAAAATTTTATTTAAAATTATATACTTTTTTTACTGTGGCTTAATTTTGTGATACTCTATTTTGGCATGTAACTATTACTTAAAATACCCATTTTTTCATATGACTTTTCATTAAAAACACAATTATATATATATTTTTTTGCATATGACCTTTATTATAATTATCTGGGATCCTGCAGGAATAGTATTATACAAACTTGATTATAAATAATTATAATTTTTCTGAAAAAATCTTTTTGTCTCTAATATTGTTTAATATAATTAAGTTTACAATAAAATTTTGAGTAAAAGATACATTTATACCCATCTTCTAAAATTGTTTTTTCTAATACATTTTTTGTGCTAAAAAATAAGATTATAATGAAATAATCTATTTTGCAAATAATCTACTCAGTTTTCATTATCTATCTTATTTTTATATAATTAACAATCAGTATTTAATCTATCTTGTTATAAGTCACGCTCAATTAAAATCTTCTTCATTCCTTTTGGTTTACTATTTTTATTTACTATTGATTGATACTAATTATTTGATTCAAAAATAGTATTTTTTATCTTTAGTTGCTTTTTTTTAAGTTTTAAGTTCATTTTACTGGCTACAAGAGTATTATATTTAAATGCTATATGGTTTGAACTATTATTGAATACAAATATTATAATACAATTAGAAAAGAAATTTAAAATATAGGAATAGCCTTTATTTTAACCTGTTCTATTAAATGTTCACTTATTCAAAAACCTTTTCAGTTTTTATTCATTTGAAGATAAGTACATGTTTCATAAGATATGAAATAATTTTTCTGAAATTGTTGTGTATTTAACTTGAGCCAGCCATACTCATCTGATAAAAATTTACTAACCATAATGAAGCGAACATTTTCTTTTTTACACAATAACAATTCTTCAGACTTTACTTATATTCCTTTTTTCTATCATTAAAGTAAATACACATTCATTATGCATTACGAGATATATTTTTTTATTATTAGGTTTTAATATTTTACCTTCATATTTTACCATTAACTTTTCATAACTGTAGATCTCATCTAAAATGATTTTTAATATTTTATAATATTGGGACGCTTATACCTATTATAATATATGCCTATAATATATTTAATGGTAAGTAATAAGCATTTCTTATAAAAAAAAGTAACTTAATTAACTTATTTCTAGGATTGCAAAAAATAATCAATTATGTTTAACTAATATATCACTGTTATTAAACTAATGATTTTTTTTAATTATTCCTAAATTAATAAACGATTTTGCTCAATAAATTCCTTAAATTTTAGCGGGTGGTTATTTTACTTTGAGAGTAAATTTAAATATGACATATTCCTACTATATCTTCATCATTAATTAATTGAATTATTTTTTGATGTCTTTTTTGATGGCTTTTTAAAAGATAATTAATTATATTGGAGCTAGTAATTTGTTTAATATTGAATAACTTATGCTCTATATATTCAATAAAATACAATTACATAATCTTTACACTTGCTTTTATTTTTTATTTTTATAATCATTCAATCTTCTTAAATATTCAAAAACTGCTTTTTTCTTATTATATTCAATTACAGTTAATGATTTTTGCTGTTCTTTAAGTTTAATCTTTAAATTTTTGATTCTTTTATTTAGATCAAGTTAAGTTATTTTCTCATTTTCCATATCATCTAAAATTTTTTCAAAGTTTTTAAAAATTGATTGATTTTTTTTTAAAAATGTTAATATTTTGGCAGTTCTTTTGCAACTTTTGTAAAACTATCACTGAGTTTATATTTATCATAATATGTTAATTTTTTTAGTTTTTCCAGCAAAGTAAGGTTCACATTTTTTTGTTAAAATTTTGCATTATCTGACCAAACCAACTTATATTTATCTTCTTTTTTACTTAACAAATCTATTTTATCATCCCACTCGCTATCATTTTTATATTCCTAATTATCAACAATCTGTGACTTTTTTAAAAACTTTCTTATTTTTGCTTTTTGATCTTAGATTTTCTTTTTGATGAATAAATCATTATTATTAAGTAATCAAAATAGGAAAAAATGAAAAAAAACATTTGATTTTCATATAAAAATAGTTTTAAATTTGCATATAAATTGCTGATCCTTAGTCTGAAATTTACATTTTTACTTTTTATGTCATGAAAATTTTTCATACTTTAAACTTAAATAAATGTAAATTTTGTTATTATATTTTATAAAATAAACTGATAAAAATGTTCAGCTTATATTATATTATTAATTTATTGTGTTAAATTTGTATTTTATTACTTATTTTTCATTTATAAAATTTTAAAGTCACTTGATAATTTTATTAATTATAGATGATAGTCATTATAATTGTATTTTTTTGTTAATACAATATAAGTTCATATTTATATTTATTTTATCAGCAAAAAATAATTCAAATTCCCTTTCTTAATTTTTGCCATTTTTTTTTATAAATAATAATAGGTTATCAACTGATTTATATTTTAGACTATTTTTACAATAATATTTATAGGTAGCATAAATTGTTTTTAATAAAATTTTGGTAAAATTTTATTAGATTACTATATATTATTTATATATAATTCATATTTTTAGTATTATCATATTTGTAAATTTTTCAACAATTCTACATAAGTAAAATTTTCTACAATTATTAAAAATTTGACTATTTCTATTTAAACTATTAGGATTAGCATTAAAACTTTTACAAAATAAATATCAAAAAATATTGATATACTTTTATAATTTTTAAACTCTTTATTTCTTATTGTTAAATTTAAATTGGTATTTAAAAATCTATATAAATATAAATTAAAAATAGTTTTCTTATCAATTTTAGGATATTTAGCATGACTCTAAAATTATATCTATAGAATATTTTATAGTTAGACAATAAATAAAATAAAGCAATCTAATTTTAATAATATTTATATTAGATATATCTTCTTCAGATAAGTAATATTTTTATATTTAATTGCTTCAAAAATTGCTCTCTATGTATAAAGTTTACATATACTAATTTTATGATTATCATTATAAATTTCATAAATAAAACTTTTTATTTCAATAATTATACTTTTTTGATTATGCTAATGATTAATAATATAATTTTAGAGTTCTTCATTTTTAGAAATATGTTTTTTTAAATATAATTTGAACATGTGTTATATAATTTTCTCATTATTCCAATCATTAAGAATGTAAGTTTCAGAAAATATTTTTTTATATAGTTCTTAGATTTTAGATTGTACAAATAAATGATTTATTTCAAAAAGACTATTATCATCATAATTTATAATAATTGAGTTTGTTTTCAAACTAAAAAAGTTGAATTATCTTGAAATTACTTTATTATTTTATTATTTTGAAAAATACTATTTGAAAATAATTTCCTTATAACCTTTTGCTAAATTATACTTTGATTTTGTCTATATTTATACATAAAAAAGGATGTGAAACCTTTATTATTATTTTATATAAAATAGATACTACAAAAATCTTAACATTACATAAACAAATTATAAAAAGATAAAAACTCACACTACTAAGTATTTGTTAAATTATATAAGAATTAGAAAAATGCTTCTGGATATTTTGTTTTGTTATTTTGACTAAATGCTTTTTGATAAGTAGTATTTATATTATTAAAAAAACTCTACTATTAATTTTCTTTCTTTTACAAATAAATCTTGGTATATTGGGGGGGAATAGGGCAGTTCCCACTAAGAAGGAATCTGCTTTCCATTGCCTTCCTGCTATATTCCTTTGTATTTCTTTTCCATT